GAGCAGAAGGCTAAGGCGAGCAGAAGGCTAAGGCGAGCAGAAGGCTAAGGCGAGCAGAAGGCTAAGGCAAGCAGAAGGCTAAGGCGAGCAGAAGGCTAAGGCAAGCAGAAGGCTAAGGAGAGCAGAAGGCTATAAGCCAAGCAGAAGGCTAAGGCAAGCAGAAGACTAAGGCAAGCAGAAGGCTAAGGGGAGCAGAAGGCTAAGGAAATTATCAAAGGCGCAGAGAAGTACACAATGTGAGTAGCAAATGCAGCCGCGCAGCAGCAGCAGCCGGTGTGTGTTTACGCCAGTAAATGCCGCGCTGCAATGTGCGCTGCGCATGCGTCACGAACGTGTCGGTGACACACCAACACCCCTGCACCCACAGTGTTGCCTACACCCCTTCACCCACAGTGTTGCAAACACCCCTTCACCCACAGTGTTGTCTACACCCCTGCACCCACAGTGTTGCCAGCCCCATGACACCCAGTGTTGCCTACACCCCTGCACCCACAGTATCCTTATCCTTGGTAGGTATATCTTTCGGACTTCGTAGCCCCAGGCCACGATGGATCGCTTCATTTGGGCCACCTGATGCACGATGCTGTTGCTTGCTTCTCGCCGCTGGTAGTGGTGCAGCGGCGGGCGATTAGGGATTGTGTCCAGGCACACATCCAGTCGTCTCTTGAAGGTCTCCAGGGAGAACTCAACCTTTCTCAGATCTTTTGGTAGGACGTTCAACAGCCTCGGCCCTACCAAGGAAAGAGATCCTTTCCGGGATTAAAATCTGACCGCAGATCTGTTACGTAGTGGAGGAATCCTGCACAGTCTCCTCCTTCTTTCGTTATAATATGTTTCAATCCTGAAGGTCTCGCTTGCGACGTTTGGTGTCATTTCGGATACTATTTTTCGTGTGTGCGGAATGACATACTGTCCGGTGTCAATCTGGCGTCTCATAATATTCATTAAAATTATATTATAAGATATGATCATCCGTAATTGAGACGTAATGACGTGATAGAGATTGACTGAAAATGCTAGACCTTAGTCAGCGTCTGAACAACATCACGTGATAGATCACGCGATAAAGACCTCAGTATTGGGCGGAAGCCGTGATTCTATAAAAGGGCTGGGAACCTTAGTAAGGCCCCGGCAGACAAGCACACACGCCGCGATGCAACTCGTTGTTAGAATTACTCCGACCTAATGGTTGACGTATCCTTAGCATTTGTTTGGGACATAGCCTTTTACCATTAATATAACTCTCTTTTATAACCACCCCGTATCAAGATAAGTTCTCTAGACAGATGATCTCTTACTTATCCCTTATCCCACACGAACTTAGTCAACAAGCCCTTCTGCATCTGGAGGCACATAAACGTGCATCCGGGACAAACCTCTCCGTCTCCTCTGCAGTGAGTACAGACCCAGGCGCTTCAACCTCTCCCAGTAGTTCAACTCTTCCATATCTCTGATCCTGAAAGTGAAGGTTCGCTGGACCTCTTCCAGTTGCCGCACTGCGCCGAGTCTGAACGGGGTTCAAAGCTGGCAGCAGTATTCAAGGACGTATAGCGAAGGCTCTAAACATGTTTAATTCACCTCGGACCCACAGTAGTCTTAATTTTCTTAAGTGCACTCCATTGTCAACTTGGTTTTCTGTACAGTACTTTAGACTAAAAAAATGATTGGGGATGGCTTTTGCCCAATGGAGCCTCGTGACGAAGCTCATCTAACATTGATTCATCACTAGTAAACACCAGGTCTAGAATATTGGGAGTCTGTTTACTTCTATAATGGGTTGGCTTAGTAACGTGCTGGACTAGGAAGGAGTCTCTCACAGACTCCATAAACAAGGATGCTGGGTGATTCTCATCCCTTGGAGAGGATCCCTCTGTACAGTCTAGCTCTGGATAAGCCAAACGAGCACTGAAACTCGCACAAATTTCTCACACCGAAACCAGTGACAAGAACTGATGCCGATATTAAAGTATAAATTATTCTCTCCTGAACATGGATTAAAAACGTATAAAGTCTTCAGTTGATAAATAGTAAGTAACAGCTCTGAAAAGTTACATAAATAAGGAAATAAAAACTGCGAGAGCGACATAAAATTGGCCTTTTATATATCTAATTAGCATTGTTAAGTAGACCCCAGATTGGTGTAAGGGCAGCAATTTAGGTTTTATCATCTGCATCGTAAAATTAGCCCATCCACGTTTATTCACCAGTAATCCTAAATATCACATACCGTACTGGCTTGTCAGTAGCGAAGGAAAGCTATTGCAATGCAGTTTGCTTTCAGCAGCGTAAATTTAGCCGTGTTTAGAAGATGGCGACAAGAAACACTGCAGGGTTGCGATGTTATAATCAAACCACGTCTTGTTTACGAGTGCCTCAGCGCGATGACGTCATACGCTCTGCTTGTGCCAGCCGCTATGTAAACAAACTTTGTGCACCTTGCAGCCGATAGCCTGTGGCAGCGTTATTAAAATAGCGCACTAAACACGCGCTATGCAGTCAAAAATATATTATTGATAAAATAGACATCGCATAGTATTATCAGGAAGACCCCAGGAGTTTATATTTTTGTTAATTTTGGTTTAACATGATATCAGTATTACTAACCGTATGATATTATACCAACATTAACATGCACTATTACATATTTGCCTCGCTGGGCGGGGCTTACACTCAGAGAAATTGTGAGAATTTGTCGCAAAAGTGTTTCACTTCTTGTCCTGTTGTGGGTCACACAACAACCTCAACTAATATTCAGACAACACACAACAACTTGTGTGAGCGTTCGTTTGGTAATACAAACGCGAGCCAATAATTATGTTTGCGATAATAATAATAGATAAATAATACTCGAGTACACGAAGAGAAATGCACGAGGCTTTGTCCAAAAATGGTGCGCTATTTTGTTCTTCTGTAGATCATCCTGACCCAATTAGGCCCGATAGAAGAGCGGATCAGTACTGAAGGTGTGTCAATATTTGGACAATAAGCCCAAAGATATTTCCGAGTATAAACTAGCCTCCCCACAGCACCGCAAGAAGTAAATGACCAAGAATAATGTAATTATTACATTCTTACTCCAATATTATGCTACAGAACCGCTCTCGTTGCCCGATGTAATATGAATTATCCGAACTTAATTTCGAACAAACTCATGGTCTGTTATTGATTTTGGAGAGTGAGCAGTGAAGTCAATGCCTAAGTATATCCATAGTACATGTTTCGGCGTAGCAGTCCCAGGCCACGATTGACCTTAAAAATATTTAGGCACATACTTCGGGAACTTATAATCAGTTTTTTAGAAATTACCTTATCGGATCCAATGAAATGTTGAGCAATATCCTGCTGCTGCTACTTCTTTTCCAAAATATTAAACCGCTACAAACGGAGTTCCCGCTCCAAATAACGCGATCAAACATAAAAGTTACCCACAAAATATCTCCCTCGTTCAGGGGTAAAGTCAAGCCACACAATTTACCGCATGCAAGGGCCAAGTTTGAAGGATCTCACTTCTCACCTCCAGATATTGAATAGGAAAGTCTTAACCTTATGGATCGAGAGTCGAGGCCTGGGTAAATATAAGGGTAAATGTAAGGATATTACTCGTTGATTCTGAGGAAAGATGTAACGTTCTAACCCACGCACTAGAGGGAAAAGGTTAGGTTCTAACCCACTGCACTAGAGATTAAAGCGGTGTTATCAACCCACTGCAACTAGAACCCACGCACTAGAGGGAAAAGGGGAGGTTTTAATCCACTGCACTAGAGGGAAAAGGTTACGTTCTAACCCACTGCACTAGAGAATAAAGCGGTGTTCCCAACCCACTGCAACTAGAACCCACGCACTAGAGGGAAAAGGTTAGGTTCTAACCGACGGCACTAGAGAATAAAGCGGTGTTCCCAACCCACTGCACTAGAGGGTAAAGGGGAGGTTCAGACCACTGCACTAGAGGGAAAAGGTTAGGTTCTAACCCACTGCACTAGAGGGCAAAGGGGAGGTTCAGACCACTGCACTAGAGGGTAAATGTTAGGTTCTAACCCACTGCACTAGAGGTAAAGGTTAGGTTCTAACCCACTGCACTAGAGGGTAAAGGTTAGGTTCTACCCCACTGCACTAAAGGGNAGACCCTTGATAACCTTCATTAGACCCTTGATAACATTCATTAGACCCTTGATAACCTTCATTAGACCCTTGATAACATTCATTAGACCCTTGATAACACTCATTAGACCCTAGATAACCTTCATTAGACCCTTGATAACCTTCATTAGACCCTTGATAACATTCAATAGACCCTTGATAACCTTCATTAGACCCCTGATAACCTTCATTAGACCCTAGATAACCTTCATTAGACCCTAGAAAACCTTCATTAGACCCTTGATAACATTCATTAGACCCTTGATAACATTCATTAGACCCCTGATAACCTTCATTAGACCCCTGATAACCTTCATTAGACCCTAGATAACCTTCATTAATCACTGAGTAATCAAGATAGTTACTGGATTCAGTGACAGAACGCTCATCGTTACATAAACATTTATAAAAACAAAGAACCTTGTAGTTCAGGAATTTTCAGTTCAACGCCATACGCTTTACAATTATTTGACGCATTTCAATAAATATCAGAATTTTATACCCTGTATTCAATGAATAATATAATTTGATGTTGTCGTATTTACAATTATAATTTTTTGTACCTACGAAATAGCTGCGACTGCAAGCCCACTTATTCTGTGATGTATTTAATACAAAATAGCTGCAACTGCAAGCCCACTTATTCCGTTATCTATTTATTGGAGCTGAGTAACTCGCGGTGCTTACGTTGCTCTCTCTGACCTCCTTTTGCAGTAATACCATGTAAAAATTGTGATGATTATAATGATGATGACAATAATGACGAAGATAAGAATGATAATAATATAATAATAGTAATGATGATGACAATAATGACGATGATAATAATGACAGTAATAATGCTAATAAAGCAATACCCTCACCTCCACCAGACTGCAGGGGCTGCGTGACGTGCGTGGGCAGGCCGCACTGGCGGCGCACCTGTGAACAAAACAAACCATTAAATGAAGTAAATAATTAGAACACTTAGGGACTTGGAACTAGCAGAGTATTGAGATAGGTAATATACATGATATTACAGAACAACGATATACATCGATACTTGCATATAATATTATAGAACAACGATATATATTCATACTTACTTAATATTTAAAAAATGACGTAACAAACATTGTTAGAATGAAGGAATCAGAGATTTGCCGAGTACATGTTGAAACATTAAATTTTCTGATATTTTCAAGAATCACTCGGAAACGACAGTGAAGAATATCAATCAGGTTCTGGACGCAGGAGCGCTATAATTGATAAAGAACTAGCGCCGTGAATGCCTTAATATGAATAATTTAAGTAATGACCTATTATTCATACATACAATTGAACCGCGTGCAGTGCATCAAATTAAACAGTTAATTTTATTAAATTAAACATTTAATTTTATTAAATTAGGCGATTATTGATGAAATTAGGCGATTAATTGATTACATTAAGCGATCAATTGAATAAATTAAGCGATTAATTGATTGAATTAAGCGATTAATGGAATAAATTAGAGGTAGGTACATTAAATTAAGCGAAAATGGATTAAATCAAGCGACTAATTGAATTGAATTAGCGCAGTTCTTATTGCTGGTTTGTTCGCGTTTGTCTGGTGCGTACGCGTTTGTCTGGTGCGTACGCGTTTGTCTGGTCGTGTAAAAACTGACCGAATTCTAACACAAAAAGCACATCAAACAATTTAACTTTTTCTTATTTATCCCGTAACTAGATATTTTTTCTTTAATATAAAACCGATCTGGGGAATAAGGAAAACTGCTAAATTTCCACCACTTTTAGAAATTTACAATACCATTACGGATCCGATCAACCCGGTTTTGCAATCGGACCTGAATTTCATACAAAATTCATTGGGTGAATCTGAATGCAAATAATAAAAATTAAACAAAAAAGCTTGCCTAATGTGACGTCTGCGAGTGAACGCTCATCCAAGAGGAGCCCTGTGTGTGATGTTGAGATGCGGTCTGATGTTATACTAAACTAAACTAAATATGAGCCTCAATACTAAATACTAAATAATTATACCATACAAAACTAATTGCACTATACTAAACAAATTGTACTATACTAAACTAAATATATTAAACTAATCTGAAATGTGAGCCTCGATACTAAATAACAATACTATACTAACCTATGTAATTATACTAATTTAAACTATAAATGAGCCTCAATACTACATAATAAATAATTATACTATACTAAACTAATTATACTAAAGTAAACTAAATATGAGCCTCATCTGCTGCATGATGCACGGAATTCAGACCCTTAAGATGCCACCATGGGCATCTCAAAGGCAATATCATTTAGATGCGCCAGCATCAGCCGCATGATGCATGGAATTCAGACATGGTATTCAGATGCATTGTGCGCACTGCGATGAATCTGGTGATTGAAGTTCGATAGACTCGCTCGCTCACATTCATTTCCTGGCCGATCGATTGCCTCGTTTTTTTTTGCGGGAGTTGCGGCAAGATGGTAATTGAATCTTGCCAGACTGAGGCCGTGAATAAAATAGCTCTGAGAGGTATAAAATTGAATGCATTGTCTTTGTACGAATTTCAAGTGACAAAGAAAGTAATTAAAATTTTGTCTGTATTACTTTTTTTATTACAGAAAGAAATTTAATTAATTTTTTAAATAGATGGAAATAATAAAGCTGGGTTATAATTAAGTTGTTGACAAATTTCGAGGCAGGAGATAAAGGCACGCAGGTTCATAGTTCAAGCTATACCAAAACTGGCTAAGAAAAAGAAACTTCACAACGTACTGTGAATCATCAATGTGTTGACAACGGTAGACACGCCACAACGTTTTAACCGAGGGTTCTGCATGTGTGATGAATGTTCATCCGAGGTGAATTTTCGAATGAAAGATATATGTTACGTTTGCAAGCAATGTAATATAATATAAAATAAAGAATAATTCTCGTAGTGCGCAAATAACGAGAGCGAAAATTTCCATTAATTGCAAATATAAACCATGAAATAATTGATAATTTGAGTAAAGTTTTATCAAAATACATACTTATAAATGTCCCGGTATATGTAAATGATACCGACCGGCGACCGCTACGACTGTGATGCGATAAATTATGCGTATCAACAGTATCCCAATTATTTCCGGAAGAATTTTACCTATTTGACCTGAATTCACCTTCTTTGGAGTCTTAAATCGTAGTACGCTATATACACTGCTGCTGGGAATATATATATCTATATAATACAACATGCACTCTTAGTAAGTCTAACAAAATTACTATTATCGCCACGACTGTTGTTGAAAAGTGAGTCATGAAGACTTATTGAAAGTGCATGCATGTGTTCAGTTTTTGGACAACCTGAAATGTGCCTTCTTGACTCACTCATTTCTACTGGTAATGGAAGAAAACATACTAATAATGAATGATTTCACTACAAAGAAAAAATAAATAAATGGAAACTACTTTCTCTTCAATTTTGGAGAATGGGTACGAATTATGAGTACGGGTTTTGAAAAATTATGAAAATATCGTTTATTAATCTCTGAGTAAAAAGATGAGTTATCAACAGTACGGGTTTTAAAAACTATGAAATATCATTTATTATCTCTAATAGAGTAAAAAGATGAGTTATCAACAGTACGGGTTTTAAAAACTATGAAAATATCATTTATTATCTCTAATAGAGTAAAAAGATGAGTTATTAACAGTGCGGGTTTTAAAAACTATGAAGATATCATTTATTATCTCTATTGAATAAAAAAGCGAGTAATCGGTAATCTGACCAAGATTTACAGTAATGAAACACTTTTCAGTTTACGGTCAGGCTGCGGCGACTGACACTTCATTACCCTGTCAAAATTTAGCCGCGGCAGACGGTCTGGTTTCGGTTGTCAGTCTCGGATTAGAGATAATTCAGATGTGAAATGGCCGCATCTCATAATTAGCCGCCCAGTAGGAGCTATTTAGGGTAGTTTCATGGGAAAAAATATAAGGGTCAAATGACACACGAAATCAGCGGCTGGCCAGGCCACCATTGGCTTACCCTGCTCAGTAGCTGGCCTGAGTTCTTATAGCGCTGTCTCTTATACACATCTAGATGTNTCCCCCCATAGAGGGGGGAAGGGAGGGGGCATTTTTTTAACGCATTTTTCAGATTCGGCCGTGTCTGTCCCGAACGTATCAGGTACCGAATACGCGCGCCCCACGATCGCCCCAAGCTCGACGGGTATTTCACAAGATTCTCTTTCGGCGCTTATTTCGCTCCGGCAACCGGAACCTAAAGCGGACATAGAGCTTCTAATTTACACCGCAAAAAGAATTTGGGGCGACCCTGAGCCAGCGGCTGACAGGCATCCAAGTTTTGATAGGGTATACACATTAACAAATCTAGGCAGGCACATCGGCGGCCCTGACTGTCGCCGATAATTACGCCATTATATTTAAGCGTGCATGAGATAATATCGTCTGCGCGGTAGCAACGATGATGGTCATCAGATGATGTCACGTCCAGGCTTGAATGGCAGCTTAATAGGACACTGGATATTGTGTCATCAAGAGCATGGAAATTGAACACTGAAGATCGCGTCATCAAGTCCATGGAAATTGAACACTGAAGATCGTGTCATCAAGTCCACGGAAATTAGACACTGGAGATCGTGTCATCAAGTCCATGGAAATTGAACACTGAAGATCGCGTCATCAAGTCCATGGAAATTGAACACTGAAGATCGTGTCATCAAGACCATGGAAATTGAACACTGAAGATCGTGTCATCAAGTCCATGGAAATTGAACACTGAAGATCGCGTCATCAAGTCCATGGAAATTGAACACTGAAGATCGTGTCATCAAGACCATGGAAATTGAACACTGAAGATCGTGTCATCAAGTCCATGGAAATTGGACACTAGAGATCACGAAATGAAGTCTAGGGAAATTGGATACTCCGTATCGCGTCATCAAGACCAAGGGAATTGGACACTGGAGATCGCGTCATCAAGTCTAGGGGAATTGGACACCTGTGATCGCAATCCACCACCGAGGACAACAGACGCCGCGTCGAACGCTCCACCGCCGAGGACAACAGACGCCGCATCGAACGCTCCACCACCGAGGACAACAGACGCCGCGTCGAACGCTCCACCACCGAGGACAACAGACGCCGCGTCGAACGCTCCACCACCGAGGACAACAGACGCCGCGTCGAACGCTCCACCACCGAGGACAACAGACGCCGCGTCGAACGCTCCACCACCGAGGACAACAGACGCCGCGTCGAACGCTCCACCACCGAGGACAACAGACGCCGCGTCGAACGCTCCACCACCGAGGACAACAGACGCCGCGTCGAACGCTCCACCACCGAGGACAACAGACGCCGCGTCGAACGCTCCACCACCGAGGACAACAGACGCCGCGTCGAACGCTCCACCACCGAGGACAACAGACGCCGCGTCGAACGCTCCACCACCGAGGACAACAGACGCCGCGTCGAACGCTCCACCACCGAGGACAACAGACGCCGCGTCGAACGCTCCACCACCGAGGACAACAGACGCCGCGTCGAACGCTCCACCACCGAGGACAACAGACGCCGCGTCGAACGCTCCACCACCGAGGACAACAGACGCCGCGTCGAACGCTCCACCACCGAGGACAACAGACGCCGCGTCGAACGCTCCACCACCGAGGACAACAGACGCCGCATCGAACGCTCCACCACCGAGGACAACAGACGACGCGTCGAACGCTCCACCACCGAGGACAACAGACGACGCGTCGAACGCTCGAAATCAAAATTTAATTTTACAAGGCGATCGCGACGCTGAAAGGGTAATCAAAATAACTGTATTAACAAATAATGACTGATGGAGCTACCGTCTTAAATATGAAAGGATCACACAACATTTTTGAATTTATTTCAAAATATTAGTAAAACT